CAGAAATAACCTAAATATGCGTCAATGGATGGAGAAAGAAAATATGATACATATATACAATAAAATACTATCCAGTCTCAAAAAAGGAGGAAATTCTGCCATTTGCAACTACATGGATGAACCTAAAGGACATCATAGTAAGCAAATAAACCAGGCACAGAAAGACACTGCATGATATCACTTACATGTAAAACCTAAAAGAGTCTAACTCAGGGAAGAATTGGCAGTTACTAGGGGCTGTTAAAGGCTAGGTGAAAGAGGAGATGCTGGTCAAAGAGTACAAAGTTTCAGTGAGAAGGAATAAGTTCTAGTGACCTACTACTGCACAATATGGTGACTACAGTTAATAAATATGCATTACTGCTATATGTCAGGACTGCTAAAAGAAATTTTAAACATTCTCACCACAAAGAAATAAGTATATGACAATGAATATATGATTAACTTAATTATTCTACATGCATTCATATACAACATCATACTGTACTCATAAATACATGTAGCCATATATAAATTTAAAAAATAAAATATATGTATATATATTTTAACAGTAAGAAGCTAGTTGTAAAGCAAACTTTATGTAATAGCTGGTCTACATTTCATACTAATAATCTAAGATCAAAAAACTAAGCAAAATTTCCCAAGAATAAGGGTGAGAAAAGAACAAATTTATTCTAAACCATCTGTAACTTTGAATTACTTCCACTGTTTGACAAGAACAGTTAAATTGATTTAAAAAAAAAAATCCCAGGGCTGGGCTGTAGCTCAGAGGTAGAGCACCTGCCTCGCATGGGTGAGGCACTGGATTCAGTACCACATAAAAATAAATAAAGATATTGTGTCCATCTAGAACTAAAAATATAGTTTAAAAAAATCCTAAAGCAACAGGTAACTTGAGTATTAGGTAGTGTGCCAAGTAGGTGGAGAGGTCAATGAGAGAGGGTTAGCATCCTACCAGGTCAAACATGCCAATTCCAGAAAAGGCCCACTTGCATTTGACAGATTCCCTATATTTCTTCTTGACAACCCTAAGTTTTACCTGAAGTATTTTCTTTTCCAAAGCAATCATGGTAACACTGTATGGGAATCCGTAATCAGTTCTTAAGCAGAAAAGCTTGGGCAACATTAAATTATCTGCCAAGAGTCCCCTTGCTGAGGCAACCAATCACCTCTTGCCTTTCAGGATGGCCTAACCCAGCTGGGCAGAGAACAGTGCCAGGAAAACTGGAGGGGTGGGGGTGTCAGTACAAGTCAAGTTCAGCTCTCACTTCTTAACCACAATTTGAACTTTTGAGTAGCTTGAAAAGTCAATAAACTGAAATACTGCATTTATAACAATGCTAACATCCATCTTTCCTGTCAACTTTTCAAAATCAATAACTAAAAAACGGTATTACACTATCTCTGAATATGTGAATATAACTAGTGAGAAAAACAGACATTTTTCTTCAACAACCAAAATAATATATAATATAACAGCTATATTATATTACATAATACTTTGCTGATAATATCCTTGAGATTACACTGGTTTGGGCATAAGTTAATAATCCACCATATAGTCAAATGGAATCATATGTTCTTAACTTTGGGTCTTGGAATGAAAAGCAGTCAAACATGCTACACATACAATGTTTTAACCAAATTCAGCTTTCCTGGGAAGGCAGCCTCTGCTTCTGACAGTTACAGCTCACCTGCCTCAGTAGATTACAGATGCTTAACTACAGAACACTGTATCACGAGAAATCTGTAGCAGCGAATGCTCTGTGATCATTTGAAGCACACACAGCCTCATGGCTGYAACACTGAGTAAGAGTCCAGGAAGTAACACAGCAAAACCTTGGAAAACAGATTCTACTCCAGATTTCTCTTGATGTGAAGAAATGATCTACGATTTGCTTGACTAGCCTTAGTCACTTCATAAACTCTAACTCATCATCATCATTTTGGTTGTTTTTTTAAAATACAAATGGAAGGAAGCTGGCATTGCTGTGTCCAGTTTTTCTGTCCTACACAAAAAAGTTTCAAAAAAGACAAGCTAAGTAGCGAATAAAAAGTTATAAGAAAATAATGAGGTCAACTAAGTTGTATGCATTGCTTTCTGGCACAGAATTGCCCAATTTTAAAATWWAAAAAAATACAAATACAAATTTTTTTCATCTTAAAATGTACACTACTTCTCAAAGTTTAACAATAAATGCAAACTGCACAATATTCCTTTAAATTATAAAACTCCTTTCATAATCAGAACAACCCATTGGAGGACATCTGATATTTTTCAGTTAATTAACATGTTTATGCATTAAAGAAACTGATCTAGCAACAATCACTTTCAGTGAAATTCTCTTTTCAAGAAATTACTAGGCAAGTTTAAACTGGCAATAAACTAGAAAATACACATACAAAAAATAGTCCAAAGACAATTCAGACTAAAATAACTCCTGAAAAGGACCCTGATATTAATTAGGACAAAAAAAATATATTTTATTTTGTATATGTTTTCAGCCTCTCACCCTTCAAAATTTGGTAGAAATGGAAAGTGTAAATCCTAGAACACATGTCAAGATCATAGAGCCCTGCTCTCCTAAGTACTGCTCTGTATGGGAGACAGGACCTCTTAGAACATGCCTATCTCCTCAAGAATGGGAAGCCCAAGTTGGAGCTAGACAGAGTTCCTTCTTTGAGAACTTCCAAAACATCATCGCAATTACACAATTTTTCATGTGCTTTTTACTGTTTTTATTATCTCAGGTAATTAGGAGTTCTAAGCGTAATGTATTGAATTTGAAAGAATGTTAGTATTGCCTCTGCTGAACTTTAAATTGACTGGAAGAGACAAAATAAGTCGATTGACTTTTTCATTTAAAAAGAAAGCTATTGCTATCAACGTCAAGCTTATTTGATCAATAACAAATACCTATCAAAGGCCTATTCTATGCCAAACATTGCTGTAGGTGACTGGGACATGTCAGTTAACAAATTCTTCTACAGCCCCTTTATATACATTTGTAACATTAAAAACAGGTACCAGGGCTGGGGATGTGGCTCAAGCAGTAGCGCGCTCGCCTGGCATGCAAGCRGCCTGGGTTTGATCCTCAGCACCACAAACAAATAAAGATGTTGTGTCCGAAAACTAAAAAAAAAAAAAAACCCAGGTACCAGGGCTGGGGTTGTGGCTCAATGGTAATGTGCTTGCCTAGCATGTGTGACGCACTGGGTTCAATTCTCAGCACCACATACAAATAAATAAAATAAAGGTCCATCAACAACTAAAAAAATATTTTAAAAATTAAAAAAAAAAAAACAGGCACCACATCACATATCAACAGGAACCTTTGGGAAACTAAAATGAGGGTTTAACATTCAACTTCCTTTAAGTCTCATATTGAAGTTATGAGTTCAATAAGCAAGTAGGTTTTAAAATATGGTAACACACACAAAACAGTAGTCTGAAGAGGATAATAAAATGTTGCAGCAAAGGTCAAAGTAAAGTAAAAACTGCCACTAACAAAGCATGTTATCACAACCTAATAAGGAAATTTAACCATGAAAGACAAGGCAGATACAAGAATGGGAAGATCTATTCAAACAATGTCTTTCTCCCTCTTAAAGAGCCATAGGGATTTTTGAGATCTCCCCTAAGTACTTCTCACTTATTTCACTTATTTGTAATATTTCCTACCCACATCAAAGGTAAAATACATTTTTTACAATCATTAACAAAAACAGTAGTACTTCGGGGCTGGGGTTTTTAGCTCAGTGGTTGCRGCCTGAGGCACTGGGTTGGACCCTCAGCGCCACATAATAAATAAATAAATACTTTAATCCCCATAAATTCCTATGTGTCTAATTTCAATTAAGGAAATTAATTGATGGCTTCTAGGTTTTTTCCCCCAGAAACCTACTATAAGAGACTTTCAGGAAAGAAAATCATCTGTTTGGTAATCAGATATGTTTTCATACATGTGCTGATATCTGGGAGCTTGTGTTAACCTACCTCATTTCTCAGATAAAAAACAAACCTAAGCATGGTAAGTAGCAAAAAGGACAGCAATTCTATCAACCTGCTGCTCCCAAGGAAGGCCAAGCTAGATTTTTGAATCTTATGCACGAGGCTTGCTCCCCCAAATCACGTTTTGAAACCCAAACCCAGGTCCATAAGAGTTGTCTAACTTAAACATGAAATATCAGGAATCCAGTAAAACCACTTAATGACTGGCCTGAGAAAGAAAAGGCAGAGAAAAGAGCGAGGCCAGCAAGGTTTGAGGTGCGCTTCATTTCAGCCCAGCCTTGCCAGATCACTGCTGAGAACCAAGCCACACGTGGACCTGGGTCCTAGATAATCCCTCAACCAAGAGCTCAGCCCCGGCAGGTGACCAGAACTCCACGTCGCCTGCAGGCTGGAGGGCAAAGCTGGGCGCTACAGGCAGCATCCCCCCCCTCCCCGCCACGGGCGACGATGACCTTCCGGACCCCGTCGCTGGCCCCCAACCTCACGAAGCCCGCACCCGGCCTTCCCTCAAGCACCCGGACGGGCGACCCTCCAGGCCCACCCGAGTCTCGCCTTTCACGAACCTCGTCTCCGACCCCGACCCTCATGGACCCCCATCGCTGGACGCTGACCTTTGGCTTTCAACCGCGAGCGTGACCTCACGGTCCCCGTGTCCGCCCCTCACGCCTCCACCCTGGTCCTCCGAGCCCTGACACAGGCCCCCGCGGCCCGCAGTCGGCCCTGCCGCGCGCACCCCGACCCTTCAGACCCCCACCGCCGACCGCCCCGCGGCCACCGTGGGCCCTCACCAGCCCCTTCACGAGCCATGCCCATCCCCGACCCTCCCGCCCCCCATCCCTGATCCTCGGGACACTCCACATTCCAGACCCTCACGAGCCCTCACCCCCCATCCTCCCGGTTCCACCTCGACCTCCCGCGCCCAGCGGACCTCGGCACCCGCCCCTCCCGACGCCCGGCCCCGCCCCGCCCCGCCCGCCGCCGCGCTCACCTCCAGGCGCAGGGAGGCCCCGCAGGCACGCAGGAACTCGCGGATGTTGCTCAGGCACTCACTCTCGCTCCGAGGCTCCGGGTAGACCTGCAACACACAGCGCGGGCGCTGAGCGCGGCGGCAGGCGGGCCGCGAGGCCCCGAGCCTCCCGGCCGCCGCTCCGCTCACCCTCTTTCCTTCCTGCGGGAGGCACCAATCTCCGTCCCTGCCCTCACCCGGAAGTGGGCCGGCGCCGAAAGTGACGCCGTCAGACCGCGCCCCGCCGCCGCAGGGGCCTCTTCCGGCCGGCGCCGGGTCCTGGCCCGCCGCGCCGCCGCTCTCGGCCGGTCCCCAGCGCCTGGTCCCCGGGCCGGCGTGCCGCCGCCCGGAGGGAGCCGGGAGAACGGCCGCGGCGGCCGAGCATCCCCGACGCCCCTGCTTTCTCACCTGGGCTCGTGGAGAGTGCGATCTTAGTCTCCTGCCTCACTTGAAACGGTTAGCAAGGTAATTACRCGCGTTGGGCTAAAGTGCGATGTCCTCTTTCCCGAAGGCAGGCCGTGCGCTTCGTGGGCCATTAGCCCCAACAGCCGCCTAGGCCACCGCCCGGCGGCGCCGAGACGCCCGCGGAGCGGTGGCTGCTGCGGGGCGCCGAGCGGAGGCGGCGCCCGGCCGACCCGGGCCGGGCCACCTGCGACCAGGACCGCGGGGGAGCCCGAGAGGTCCCGGCGGCGGCTCGTTTTCAGACCTAAGGGTCACCGTTCTGAACTGCGTCAGAACCGAGCGTTGCTATTTACACCTACACCTCGTCCAGACTTGCAGCGTGTGGAGCCGCTGCCCTGTGGGGAGAAATCACGGCACTCACTCCATCGGGCTGCCCAGGAGTCCTGTGCACACGCTGCGGAGTGTCTGGGTCTTTTAAAATTACCAATCAAAACCAGGGCGTTCATCGATGCCATAAGAGAGAAAGTGAGGTTTGAAAAGCCCTAGGAGACAAGGCTAACACGTTGCCCTCCACGCTGAACAGATTTGTCAGTGAAAGTGAAGAGTAGAACACCAAAACCAAAGCCGCCACCTCATGCACTGTGCTTCTCTCTACCCTGGAAGAATTTTCTAGGAATATACATCACATGTGTAGTTGACATCTGAATTTTCTTGCCGTCATTTTAAATATTTGGAAAGGATATAATTTCCGACATTCTGATAACAGCATTTTAAAATTCAGGTTATACCTTTTTAAAAAAAATACCCAATGGAATCTTAATTATAGTAGAGATATGATACCCATTCTCCATCTTAAGAAATTTATGAAAAAACTCTTCTTTCAAAGGCAAACATCATTTTCTCCTTTAAGTCATTCCTATTCTATTCATCCCACAGAACTGTATGCTAATGTATCTTTATGCTTTAAAGCCTTACTGATCACAGCATCTTTTTTTGCAAGACACCCATACATATGTAATCACAAAACAAATACTCATGGCACATTCTCAGGCATTTATGGACAAGTGCAGAGCAGTGAGAAACTCTAATCAATTTGTGTGCATGTCCCAGTGGGACTTGAAGAAGGCCATGCTCTGCTTTCTTGTTAGTTCTCTATAAACAATATCATTTACACTATAAACAATATCCTTTACCCAGTCTAGGAAACGTTTTTTTGATTTTTGTACCTTCATTTGGTGATTTTGCTGTTTTAAATGGCCTCCAAGAGTAGTGCTAAAGTGCTGCCTAGCATTCCTAAGCGTAAGAAAGTTGTGATGTGTCTTACAGAAAAAATTCGTGTGCTAAGTAAGCTCCGTTCTGGCATGAGTTATAGTGCTGTTGGCCGTGAGTTCAATGTTAATGAGTCAACAATATGATACATCCAGAAAAAGGAAGAAGATATTCGCAGGTCTGTGAGTGAGGCTGCTCCAGAGAGCGCTAAAGTAACATCTGTAGTACGTGACGAAGCCATGGAAAAGATGGAAAAGCAGCTAAATTTGTGGATTCATGAGATGATGATCAACAAAAAAAGTATAGTGGGAAGCATTGTTGTGAGGCTGAAAGCCAAAGAAATTTACAGTCACGTAACCCAGGGTCAGGAACATGTTAAACCCTTCTCAGCTGGTGCAGGCTGGCTTGCACGTTTCAAAAGACGATGATACAGCATGAAAAACTTTAAACTTGCAGTCGAGGATGGTTCTGCACACCAGGAAGCTGCAGAAGAGTTTAAAAAGTACCATTGAGTGTTATACATGAAAAGGGTTATGTTGAAGAGCACGTTTTCAATGCCAATGAGATTGGCTTTTTACAAGAATGTTGACAAACGAACTTGATGAACGTGATGCAAAAAGCTTCCCAGGATCCTGATTCTAAAATACTCAAAGATCATACAACCTTGCTGCTATGCACCAATGCTAAGGGCGACTTTAAATGCAAGCCCCTAATGGTGCACTTAAAGGGAAGAACTTGAACTGTATGCCAGTCCACTGGAGATGGAACCAAAAAGCATGCATGGCATCTGAAATATTCTGGGATTGGTTCCACAATTGCTTTGTCCCAGAAGTAGAATGCTATTTCCAGAGCAAAAACTTTGCCTTTAGGGTTTTATTAATTTTGGATAATGCCCCAGTTCATTGCCATGAAGAACTAGAAAATACCCACCCCAATGTGGACGTTCTTTTCATGCCCCCAAATACTACATCTCATCCAGCCCCTCAATCAAGGCATAATAAAAGCTTTCAAGGCACAGTACATGAGAGAGCTGTACAGTAAAGCTTGTGAGACACTTGCTGCCAACCAAGAAGCCATCATGTTAAATTACTGGAAATCAGTGACTATCCACAATGTTATTGATTATGTTGGCACAGCTTGGGATAACATCAAACAGACTATTATCAATAACTGCTGGGAAACTGTTTGGCCAAATTGTGTGAAAACTTTTGAAGGTGTTACAGAAAATGTAAAAAACATAACATGTCAAAAACATAATGTGTACTGCACAACAAATAAGTGGAGAGGGTTTCAATGACATGAGGGAAGAAGATGTGGAGGAAATTTTGGCAGAGAAGGCAGTAGAACCCACCAACAAAGATCTGGATGAGATGGCAAAAGATGGTATCAGATTCAGTGATGAAAGTCAAGACAGTGATGACAGTCAGCCCATGACTCCAAACAGCAGCCAAAATATCAGAATGGAATTCTGTCCTGGAAAAACTTTTCAGTGACATGGAAGAATGTGACCCTATGCTTGAATGCAGTCTCACATTTAAGCGCCTCACCTCCACTGCATTTGTCCCTAATTCAGAAATGCTTAAAGATTTGAGGAGAAAAGCCAGGCAAACAAAGATGAAGCAGTTTTTCTAGCCAATTTTAGGGGGAAAGATGCAAAATATAGAACTGCTGGATCACAACATACCATCTCCTTGATGTTTCCTCTCTACAGAGTAAGTTCCACCAGTCCACCATTTGGTCTTCACAGGCAAGCCAAGGTCTTCAGGTTAAACCACACCTCCTGCAGTTCCATCTACAGTAAGCTGTTAACATTTTTATACAATTTTAAATGCCTAACTTGCTCAGTACTTTTTTCAGAACTTTGTTTGCATTTCATATTATATAGTATGTGTTCACAGTGCTTTGCTTACTGTCTTTATGAGCATTCTGTATATGTATGGTGTGTATATATGACTCAGTGGAAGAGTTCAACTAGTACAGCCATGGTAGAGCATATTATATATGTTGTAATTGAAACTGTGTTTATTATAAAGAAATCCTCTCTACAGCTGTTTGTAATACATAATAGCCATCTTTAAACAAAACATAAAACAAGGTCATGTATTGATTGATTGACAAAGTATTGTCACCAGACTCTTAGACAAATGTAATCCTGTGTCTCCCCTAGAAGCAATGTCTCAGTCATGGAGAATATAGTGATTGAGATAACTATGGAACAGAGCTACCACAATAACAAGAATTTATTCTACACTTAAGATTTTTCAGCCGAAAGGACCTCATTGTTAAGATTTTTCTTCTGACTTAACTATCATGAGTACACAAATGATAGAAATGATATACTATAGTTTTTGATAATTATTAAATATAAAAAGCAAAACAATTGGAAATGTGTATCTTAATGAGAAATATGGGGCTTCCTCTTTTAATTAACTCATTTGCCCAAGGACAATTATTACTTTTCTGCTAGAATGAGATGTGATCTAACATCAGTGCTTTCCCGACTGGGGCTTTTTTACACACATGAGAAATTTTGTTCACAAAGATAAGCACATGGATATGAAAGTAATTTTGTGATGTAACTTAATTCATTGAAGCCTTCTGAATTAGGAGCTCGGGTGTAGCTCAGTGGTGAGCACACTGCCCACACAGAATACATGCTTATTAGCATATGAGTTCATTCCCAACACCTAAAAATTAAATAAAGCTGAAGCTTTCTGAATTGCATGGCCAAAGTCCAGATATGACCTATCATAAATGTTTTTAAATCATTATTTAATAACTTGACTAGAGTCTCCTTCAGTTTATGTGAAAACTAAGTAGTGGAGACCCTAGAGTTGCAAAACCGTCACTGACACCTCAGAACCCTGGATATGTCTAGTTATCCTTTTGTTACGTGGCCCTCAGGTTTTCCATCTGCACCACACCATAAGAGGACAACAAGTGGGTGAAAGGTCTGCCTTTTGTGCAAAGTGAGAGAAGGCTATTATGAAGAGGAGGCAAAACACCACAGGCACCATCTCTCAGTCAGCTGCAGATAAGTATATGCAGGCCAAGGGTCTGGAAATTGACTCCCTGGAAACTATGCAGTGCCCACAAAGCTGTTAAAGTCTTCCTGTATGCAGATCTGGGTGCATATAGCTTGCTACTTCAAAGAACAAACCTGTTTGGAAAACTTATATTAAAGATTCAAACTTTATAGTAAATAAGTAGTGCCTGGCTCTCTAATATGTCATCTAGGACAAGTCATTTGACCCCTCTGGATCCTTACCCTTAAAAAAAATACCCAGCGAAACCTAAGTATAATAGATAATTTTATAATACCTATTCTCCACCTTAAGAAATAAGGCTAACAGGCTTTCTCATTGAGATGTTGAGAGAATCAAATGTATTACAAATTATCAGCAATATTTCTTGAGCCCTGACTCCATAGCAGATCATGTTACAAGCACTAGGAATGCAAAGCAGAGTGAGACAAGGTCTCTGACCTCAGTGAGGCAAGAATACACATGCAGGTGCAGGTCAGCCACACAGAGGCACACTTGGAACCATGGAAGTACTACTGACAGGGTGGGGCTAGAGGCTTATCCAGCACCAAATGTGATCTCGAGCCTGGTAGATGAAAAAGCTAGTGGAACTGCATATTCAATTATGTGACATTTTAAGCTGGGCATGATGGTGTGCATCTGTTATCTAGTGAGGAGGTTAAGGTAGGACATCACTTGAGCTCATGAGTTGAGCTCATAGCAAGACCCTGTCAAAGTGTGACATATTAGAAGTCTATGGAGTGTTCAAGAAAGGTACCTAGTCAAGGGTACTTTAACTCATGAGTAAAACTACATTGAAAAACAGTGGAATATTATGATACAGAACAAGACAGGTAGAAGTCCTGTCCTTTATGAAAGAAGATGTGCAGGGAGCACATTATTAGTTATCCCAGAAATGCAAATTAAAGTCACAGCTAAAACTATACACCCATCAGAATGGGGCATGTGGAAAATGCAGACAATATCCATTCTTGGTAAAACTGAAAACAGTTGGAACTCTCATACATGACTTGACACTATACTGTTTTACCTGAAGAACGGGCAGTTTCTTGCCAAGTTAAACTTAAACCCTAAATTCCAGCAAGTATTTGCCCAAAAGTGATGGAAACTCATCCACAAAATGCCACATAAGAGCATTCACACCATTGGCAAAGCCTTCACAACTGAAAGGAAGGGCTGTCCTCCATGTACCTCTAGGACTCAAGTGACCACCAACTCTGCCCAACTTCCCAGAAGTTCTGTCCCAAACTCTCCATTGATAATAAACTCCAGGTTTTTTCATTAAAAACTAATCAGACCAAGACTGCTTTCCAAACAATTGCAGTTTCCCCTAGAAATGTAAAATTATGCTTAATATTTGAGGAATGGTGTGTCTTGCGTGAAAATTGGCCACATAATCTCAAAGCAATGCTAGGATCAAATTCTAGAAACCCTTGCAGCTGCCTTCTGCATTCAACAGCTGCCCAGGGACAGTCGACTCCACCCAGAGTCACTGCAAAGCGCCAWTTAAGGCAGCTGCCTTCTTCCAGTAAAACTTGGAAAGTGTTTAAAAAGAGTGAGAGCCATGCACAGTGGCATACACCTGCAATCCCAGCAGCTCAGGAGGCTGAGGCAAGAGGATCACAAATTCAAGGCAAGCCTCAGCAAGTTAGCGAAGCCCTAAGCAACGTGGTAAGATAGTGTCTCAAAATAACAAGGGGCTAGGTATGTTGCTCCGTGGTAAGTGCCCCTGGACTCAATCACCTGTACCAAATAGTTTGAGGACAAACTGCTTGAGAAGTAAGGACAGGCAGCATCAGCAAGGTAAATGAATGAGCAGGCCTGGTGCTGCCTTAGCAACCATAATGAAGACAACAGAACCACCAGAGTTCCATCTAACTCCCCACCAGCCCTGGTTCCCAGTGGCTCTCACTGCAGTCTTGTGTATATGAAATCCCCCACCTGCTTCCAATCTCCAGTGGGATTTGAGAACCACTGGTGTGGAATAACATCAGAATCAACTGGAGGAACAGCTTTAGGTGGAACCCAAGAATCTGAATTTCTTCCAAGTTCATGGGAGATATTAATGATACCAGGACCAGACTTCAAGAACTAGTGGTATATGCCAACTGAAAGTAAGAAAGTGGTGTTTCTCCCACTAGAATAACAACTTCCTTACCACAGAACAAAGGTCCCCAGGTCTTTGTCATCAACAGCCTCATCAACCAGCTGGAGAGAATCAACTGCTTTGAGAACCTGCATCCTGGCTGTGGCACCTATCACATGATGACCTACTTGGGCACAGTTCAACTCCCCATTAGACTCTGCTCTCTAGTGGCAACCCACAGGCACCTCTTGTTAAATAGTCAACCAAGTAACCTAACCAACATGGAACACCAAAGTCACTTATCACAGAGCAATTGAGATAACCTTCAAGTGGAAAGGTAATAGAAAACACTTCAGGTTGGTCTGTTACTTAGTGGTGACATGACTGCTCAGAATGACATGCTGCATACGTCATTAGTGCACTCTGCTCTGGGAGGCTGCTCTTGGAGGGCCACATAACCCAGGCTCCCTGCACTGTGGCCTTGGGTTTCAGCCATTAGGAGACCATGGCTGGGAAGGAGGGGCACCTCCTGCTAAGTGGCACAGGCTTTGTGCTGGTATAGGTTCACAGAGCTGGTGTGTCTCACCCCTACTCTGCTTTCAGTAACATCACCTTGCAGCTTGAAATCAGCCACAATGGAAGTATTTATACCTCAGAGATAGTAAACACTGCACATCAGAGCCTCCACCCAGAAAGCCAACCATGTTCCTCTACTGACAACAGCTCCCATTAGGAAGCCCCTCCTGCAGCTACAGCTTTCCTAGCTCTGGTAGTTTCCTGCTTCTCCCCACCAGTCCCTGCACATTTAGGGGCATAATGGCTTCCAGGAAACTGCCCCATCTCAGGGGTTCTACTTGTCCCTGCCCTCACTTCATACATGGTCTCATTACTCACTCCAGCCTCTGTTTGGGGACCATCTGTTTTCTGCTGTGACCCTAACTTGCAGAGCTTCCTGGTGGCAGCTGAAAATAGAGTAGCATGTAATTCCAAAGATAGGAAACCATTTAGAAAGCAGATTAAATGGACTACAGTGCTTCCACAAAATGGACCAACAACTCTATACAATCTCTAGGTTACATTAAAGTAAAATCTCTAGGATACCAAAATGCAGTGCTGGGTTTGAAATCCTAAATTCACCTTTAAAAGCCTACTTAGCGTTTAATGGCTTGTCTAATATTCAATTACATGGTAGTCACTGCTTTATTCTAGTTAGGCTACTGCAGTCTCCTTTTCTTCATAGTGCTCTCTGCCTATTATTCCATAGGACATGCCRTGAAGTGGAGTGAAACACAGGTGAAAGGAGCCCACTTGGCCTTCCATCCACTGGACAGGTCTTCCAAATCCATTGGAAAAGAAATGAAGCAACAAGCAGAAAATTAAGATTTGGTTGCTAAATATCAGATAAGTAAACTACTTCTCAAAAGTATACAGCCTACTACCCAGTAGTTTGCTGAAAGACAATTAAACTTTTAATAATGTGCATTTTCTTTTGCTTGCTTTCTTCAACATACCCCAAAACCCAGCTCCTATATGGAGTGCTAGTCACATAGGGAAAAACAAAATTTTTTCCACTAGTTTGAAACTGGCCAGATTTACAAATATGTAGAGTCAGATATGCCAGAGACGTGACACATGGAGGAGATGACCAAGGCTGCATTGCTTAAATTAACTCCTATCCCCTGAGGCTTGGTTCCCACAGACTCCAAAAGCATGTGAAGTCCTTCAGAGCTGGTGGCAACTTTCCCAAATCCATGCCAGTGCCAAAAATGGATAAGAAAATGTTTAAGGATAAAGCACCCATCACATAACCTAGAATAAATCTGTCCGCAAGCTGCATGTTTTCCCAATAATACTAGATAAACACAGGAAGCTGCACGTTCGCTGGCAAGTGAAAGCCACCTGGAAAGGACAGAGGTGCTGCCATGGCTGGACGTCAGCCCCTTGGGGATGCCGACATTGGGCAACAGCTCAGCCGGCAGAAGGCATGGCAGAAGCTGGCTGTGCTCCCTCAGTGGAGGACCCTGACTCAGGAAACAAAGAACAGTAGAAATTCATAAGAACTCTAAGTCTTGTGGCCAGAGATTGTCTTCAAAGTTCTACCTGTTCATCATGGCCCAGTCACCCTCCTATGCCAGTCATGCTTGTAACTTAACGAAAACAGCCCAGGGGTTACAGCACAGCATTTTGTGAATCTGAGCCACTCATTCCTTGCTGCCTGACTCCATTCTACTTGGCTTCTGATCCCATCTCAGAATAGCTGATGGTTCCATTTCTAAAGACCCACTGTTGAAGAATACGTGGAGAAGGCCTGTGGCCTTCGATGGAAAAGGGGGTCCTTGTCGTGTGTGCTGGTGGCAACAGTGTGAGCACATGCATCCCCGCTGACCAGGCATACCTCACACACATGCTGTCTGCTAATAACCGCAACCCAGCATCCTGGGACAAGGGAACATCCCTCCTACAGCAGCCCCTGATGGCATTCCACATTTAAATTTCGTTCTCAGATGTCTCAGGACTGCTGATGGCTGCCCTGCCATTTCCCATTTGGCTTGACTGCTACTCAGATTCACTTCTGAGGACTCTCCCACACACCCCTGCACACACAGTGACACCATCTGTGACTGGGCACTCCAGGCAGTAGCCTTTGTTCCAATCCTTCCCAGCTGAAGAACCTGTCTGTGCTTTTTAAACTGCTCAAGAAGCTGCATTTATGGCAAGGAGAAGCCTCAGAGCCATATTACAGAAGATGGGACATGACCACTTGGGAAGAGTTCCATTTTGGTCCATGTTTGAGAGGTTACTGAAGGAGTGCAGAGAGCACTGGCACATTGTACAGAGGAGCCAGTGAAGCAAAAGGGAGGCCTTCACTCGGGAAGAAACAACTAAGGGGTTGGGAACAGCAGAGAACACCAGGGCTAAGCACATCTCTATAAATAGCAGGTAAACCTTGCCCTAGTAAGGATAGCCAARGCCAGGAGGAGGGTGAGGAACAGCACTAGCCCTGGGTGCTTGCAGGAGGTTAGGAAAAAAAAAAACTGCAGGAAAAAATTCAGAGCCAATGGGACTTTCATATTATCAATAAGTGGCCAAAAGCTGATGGGAAACCTCATTGCCACCCAACACTCAAGTTATTGGCAGAGTGTGACCTGAGTAAATAGAGCACAGTTATCAATAAGATGCGCAGCAGTCATACAAGAGGAAATAAAATTTTTAAAAACCATTTAGACAAACTGACCTTCATTAGTTGAAGATAAGGCTGCCAGTATATACACAAGAAGTCTGTTCATATTACTATAACTGAGGTATCTCACTGCTTATTTATACATCAAACCAGAAGTTACATCACTTCTCTGCCCAAAACCCTTAAAAGTTCCACTCTTTTTCATGCAGAGAAAAAGCCAATTCCTATGAGAGAATGAGAAGACAAACCACAGACTGGTAAAAGAAGGATCTGCAAAACACACAGCCAAAGACTTGTATCCTAAATATACAAAGAATTCTTAAAAATTAACAATAAGGAAAAAAATTAATGGGCAAAAGAAGCCAGGCTTGGCAATACACACCTGTAATGCCAGCAACTTTGGAGGCTGAGTCAGGAGAATCACAAGTTCAAGGCCAGCCTCAACATGTAGCAAGACTCTGTCTCAAAAAATAAAAAGATTTGGGGGTGTGGTTTTGTGGTAGAGCAGTCCTGGATTCAATCCCCAGTACCACCAAAAACAAAAGGGGGTGGAGGGCAAAAGACCTGAAGAGACAACAAAGAAGATTCGTAGATGCCAAGTGTGTTAGTCAGCTTTCTGTTACTGGAACAAATACCTGAAGTAAATCAGTTTATAAAGAGGAAGGATTTACTTTGGCTCATGGTTGAGAGGTTTCAGTCCATGGTCATTTGGCTCTTACTACTTTGGGGCCTGTGGCAAGGCAGGACCATGTGGCAGAAGGGCCAGGATCATAATACCCCCTTCAAGGACATGCCCCGGTGACTCGACTTCCTCCCACTAGGGCCCCACCTGTTAACAGGTTATACCATCTCCCAGTAGCACCATAGGCTGGGACCAAGCCTTCAACACAGGGCCTTTGAGGGACGCTTTCCCAAACCATAGCACAAATAAACATGTGAAAAGATACTCCCTGTTATACATCACCAGGGAGATGAAGATTAAAGCACAGTGTCACTACACACAGATTTAAATGAACAGAATCCAGAACACCGACAACACCAAATGCTGGTGAGGATGTGGAGCAACAAGAATTCACATTCGGGGCTGGAGATGTGGCTCAGCGGTAGCGCGCTCGCCTGGCATGCGTGCGGCCCGGGTTCGATCCTCAGCACCACATACCAACAAAGATGTTGTGTCCACCGAGAACTAAAAAATAAATGTTAAAAGATAAACTAAAAAATAAATGTTAAAAATTCTAAAAAAAAAAAAAAAAAAAAAGAATTCACATTCATGCCCGCAGAAATACGAAATGGTACAGCCACGTTGGAAGGCAACTGGTGGTTTCTTATAAGCTAAACGTAGTCTTATCATACAAGCCTGCAATTGTGCCCCTTGGTATTTACCCAAATGAGTTTTTTAAAACATTCTTCTAGTTGTTGATAGATCTTTATTTTATTTATTTGTATGCGGTGCTGAGAATAGAACCCAGTGCCTCACACATGCCAGGCAAGTGCACTACTGCTGAGCCACAGCCACAGCCCCCCAAATGAGTTTTTTAAGAACTTAGGTCCACACAAAATCTGTAAGCAGATGTCTTTATCAGCTTTACTCATAATCTCTAATACTTGGAATTTACCAGGACATGAATGGGTAAACAAATAATGGTATATCAAACAACATGTTATTCAGTGATTAAAAAAAAAAGAAGTGCACCATCAAACTGAAAAGATGGAGGAAGCTTAAATGTATATTGAAAGAAGCCAGTGGGAAAAACTATATGATTTCAAATATATAACATTCTGGAAAAGACAAAGCTGTGGAGACAGATCAGTGGTTGTCTAGGGCTGAAGGGAGGGAGCGTAAGGGGGCAGAGGATTTTAGGGCAGTGACACTGTGCTATACAATACTATAAAGTGGATATGTCATTGTACATTTATCAGGACCCAAGCAATGTACAAGATGAACTGTCATAGGAACCGTGGGCTTCAGTTCATTGCTGTGATCTGAACGTCCACTCCAATGCTCATGTTGAAAATGCACTGCCACTGCTGCTGCTGCTGCTGCTGTTGGGAGGCAGGACTGTTAAGCGGGTGTGTGGTCTTGGGGGCTCTGCCCGGTGCACTAATTCATGTCATTATCACAGGAATGGGTTCCTAATAAAAAGCATCAATTTAGCCTGATTTGCCCTCTGTCTCTTGAGGGTGTGTTTGCCCTTCTGCCATGTTGTGATGTAGCATGAAGGCCCTTAGCAGATGTGGTCCCTTGACCTTGGACTTGCAAGCCTCCAGCACCCTGAGCCAAATAAATTTCAGTGTTTGTCCTTCCACCAGTCCATGGTACTGTTGTAGCAGCAGAAAACTAGATGCCGATAATAAGTCGGTGTTACTCACCAGTTCTAACAGGTATGTCATTCACACCAGATGTTAATAATCAGGAGAGCTGGGGATGGAGGGAGAGAATATGGGGACTCTTTTTCTGCTCAATGCTTCTAGAAACCAAAAATGGGTCTTTTTAAAAAGCTGCACGATAATAATCAAAAGCCCTTACAGTGGTCTACACAGCCCACCCCCTTGCTCCCTCCTTGACTATTACCAGCTATTGCTCACTCACACTGGCTCTGCTCTTCCTGGACTTGCCAGTGACTCCTGCCTCGGGACCTTTGCACTAGTGATCCCCTCTGCTGAAACACTCTCGCCACTTTGCTGTGATCATCATCAAGTCTCTGTTCAAATGACACATCTCAGAAACCCCAAGCCAATGACCTGACAAACAGCTGCAATGCCACCCTAGTTGCTTTGTGCCCCTACCCCATGCTGCTTTTCTTCCACACTGGATTGTGCCTGAGTGCTGCATTTACCAGATTTCTCCCTACACCATGTAGCTATTCTCTGCAAGCAGAGGACTGGTCTGAACAAATATATCTCATGGTGGCCCATCTGGCTCCTGATGGGTTATTTGTTCAATGAGTCAATAAAGTAAGGGCATGTGCCTAGGGCACTCTACATCACTTGATTAAACCTACCAAAAGTGGTGTTGATGCTGTGGCATCTAGAACCAAAATGTGACATACAGTCACTGGATATGGCCTGAAACATGTCACTTGGTGATTCCGTCATGGTGTGCACATCAGAGTGTACTTGCACAAATCAAGACAGCTGCCATGCCACCATGTCACTCTGTGATATCGCTTATGGAACCTCTGTCATGAATGCAGTCTTGTTGGTCAAAACAGCAAGCACGTGACTGTACACTGCTGGGGATGGAAGACATGAGACGGAACTATCCTAAAACTTGGAAATACAATCACTATAAGAAAAATGATGGAGAAATCAAAGACTCATTTTGCTTTTAGACCTTAACCCCTTCCCATCATGACATACATACATACACCCCGTCATACCACCCTGCCAGAGGCCAGCTGCCCACCTGCTGCCCAGCTCTCCCAGGACTGCCCGCATGCAAGGCCAGGGCTCAGCTTTCCCTGTGTGTGCATCAGGGCATCAGTCCATCAAGGGCTGCACAGAGGAGCTCTGGTTACAGCTCTCATCTCTGTCACTGAGGAAAATCACTGGCTCATTTCCGTCATTCACATTTCATGCAGGCATCCCTAATATCCGTGAGTTCACAAGCCTGCATTATATTTGTTTCCTAAGTTTCACAAGGGGGCTCTAGACCTCATGTGATTCTGGTATTTCAGAGTTGAGAGACGGGAGGAAATTCAGAAAAAGCTAGGGAGAGACAGACACACAGAAAAAGAAACAGGCACACAGAGGGAAGTGGTGAACAGGACCCACGGGGCATACATGCGTTGCTGACAAACATCCTGCCAAGGGCACTTCGGGGGAGGGCACAGCCCAGCAACTTGCTGCATTTTCCTCAGGTTTCTCAGGCCTGAGTTCTCCACTGGTGCTGAGCACATTCATGCCATTTCCTCTGTCCTCTCCACTATTTCTGGCCCACGCAGTGAGTGTCACTCAGGTGACTCTGTCCTTCAGTTCTATAACTTCCACTGGGTTCTTCTTTACAGTTGTGTCTTTGCTGAGGGCGTCTATGTTCTCATCAACATCCCCTCTCAAAGCCACGTTATGGTGCCTGCTGGGCCCCTCTGTGGACAGCTCCAGCACCACCCATGGGGGAGAAACACGGCTAGCAGGGCCTCAGCGACCTCTGGCAAAGGAGTTCCCGTGCCCACCAGCCTTCCCCTGCCTGATCTAGTGTTTTCTCCTGCAACTAGTCTTGGGGCTGGAAATTGTCAAAAATGTCGATGTTTTCTCCGACTATGAGTAAAACATGGATTCTCAATTGGCAAGTGAACAGAAAGCAGCAATTGGGGTTGACTGGAAGGACAGTGCAAATCCCAATGGCTATTTCAGATTTCAGGGAACCAGGTAGCCTGGTGGATGGACGAACTCTGCATCCCTTAGAGGCAGTCTCAGGAGTGGCAGCCAGCTGAACACCATGAAATGAAATGTGTCCTTAAGGAGCAATGGTAGGAACTGGCTGCAGGGCTGCTCCCTGGGTTTGCTCCCTGGGTTTCCTCCCTGGGTTTCCTCCCTGGGGCTGCCCCTGAGGACTCTTCCCTGGGGCTGCTCCCAGACCCCATAGCCAAGTCACAGGGTTAAATCCTACACTTTCCTGGAAAACCCCAGTACTAAAGACACCTACAGTAGCTCAGGGTCCACCTCATCCCCGCAGCAGCTCCTAGCCCTGACCGGAGTGTTTCAAGTGCCTTGACGCCTCTAGCTAAGCTTCATTTCACCAGACCTTGCCCAAACCTCCTGAGCTTGGTCTCTCAACAAAGATCATGTTTCTCTTCCGTTTTAGAAGAAAACTTCTGTGCAGATGGGGATCGCAACTTTTCAGGTAAATTCCGAGTCCCCTTCCAACTTATGTGGGACTTTTTTCTCCAGTCTTTCTGCATCGTGTTTGAATATTGCAGACCCACAGGGAGGCAGACCTCAGGTGCTGTACTGCCTGAAGTGAGAAGGCACTGGCTGGGAAATGCACCAGATGTAAGGGCCACCTGTGGAAGATCCCCTGGGAACACAGCTGGGCCCCACCTGCAGTACTGCCAGGTGACTCACAGTGGTCTGGGTCATGGTTCTCAATTTTGGTCCCCTGGACCACCAGCATCAGCAGTCCCTCAGACCTCAGAGGGATACAGCTTCTCCACCCTAGCTTAGGCCTCCTGCATGAGCAGCTCTGAGGGTGGAGACCAGCTCTGTATCTGCACATGCTCAAATTGAACAGCTACCAGTGCAAGACAGAAACACACAGAGAGCAGTTAGTTTTTGGCAATGTCTCCATCCTTACCTAAAATCCCGCTCATTGTCAGATAAGCCAAAGGGGAAAGATGAAACACCCAGCATTAATGCATTCCAAAGATGAGGATGAAGGTCTTAGAAGTTCTCAGGGTGATGGCTTCTCGTGCTCAGTACAATACTTATTGAACTCAAACCAATGGACTCATCCACTGAGAAGGAAAGAAGCACATTTCAAAACATGGGAAATGAACAAAAATATGCTAGGCATAATTCCCTGAAACTATTGGAAAGGACAGTTTTCTAGAGTCTCCTTTATCCAGAAAAGCATGCCTGACATYCACATCCTATTAACAAAGGTTACAGTGAAGTTGCTAACCCATTGCTGCTCCTGCACACGCCTGTGCCGGGTTTTCATGCGCCTAGCCTCAGCTGCATCTGTGGGCTCAGTCGTTGTCTCACCCCACAGCTCTGTTTCCAGCACTTTCCAGCCCCACAAACCTGCAAGCTCAAATCTCTCCCTTTCCAGAGACCCTCTCTCCTGTACTAACTCATGGGCCCTGACTGAGGTGACCAGTAATGAGGGTGGCCCTAGATCCAGGTTTTCCCAGGCCCGTCCAGCTGTTCCCACTGCCCTAGACCAATCATGAGTGGGCCTTCCCTCCCCCCAGCTCAGCCAGCACTGGCAGGTCTTCAGTGGCACACACTCTGACTCTGGCAGCACACCAGTCAGCCCCCTCCCCACCTCCTGTCATGGTGCCCTCTACTGACTAAGCCCATTGGCCACCCCTCTTAAGTCTCCTGGGACCGTGGGCACTGCTAGGTTATTCATTTCCAAGTTCCCCCAGCTGAGTCTGACCTTCACACAGTAGCACCACAACTCCTGGTGAGAAATCTCACCACTTCTACAGCTTCAGGTCACAGCTCTGCACTGTGATTCCCCGGTGTATAATACAGTCCAGGTGTCCTTCAGGCTTTCAAAGCTCCACACAACCACACTCCAAGTCATGGAACCCATTCACGATCTCCATGCACTAGCCCAGGCCACATGCAGGATTCGCTCAGAGGTGACCCTGCGCCTCTCCTGCTGTGCAGTCAGAGACTTGGGGGTGGCTCCAAAGGCCTTTCCCAAGTCAACCCATCACAAGCCCTGTGGACTTGGTTCCTGGAACCCTCTCAATTCTATCATCATCTCTTTGGCATACCTGCTCCACCCTAACCCCAGGTCTCAACAGCTCTCTGCAGACATTCCCATATAATTTTCTACATGTTGTTTTCTAAACATGCAGCTGATCATATTGTTCCCTCCTTAAAACCCTGGGAAAGCACGACTGGCCCACTAGGCCCTCTGCTGCCTGGCCTCGCCATCTCTCCTGGCACCCTTGTTCAGTCCAAGGCCATCTAGGCCTCTCCAGGGCACCCAATGCACCAGGGATCCCCCAAGCCAGGCCACCCCTCCTCCATTACAGAACCCCGTCCTCCAGAGCTCGACTCCAGTGCCACTGCACGACAGGAGCCTGCCCTACCCCATCCCTGCCCCATCTGCCAAGGTTAGCAGGTCCCTCTGCTGCACGTGTGGAAATCCATCTCGCCTTCAGCGCACGCCTCACTCACAACATAGCCGCTCATGTCATTTCTTGGACGTTACTCTCCTCCACCATTGGGTTACTTTTGCAAGTCATAAATCTCCAAGGCCTTGCATGATTCTTGAATACAGTGAACACCCAATCAAGATTTGAGGAGAAAATAAATAAATGAACAGATAAAAAGATGAGTCTCTGGTAATAAATCCCTTTCCCCATAAAATGTAAGTACACTACACGTTTTCTAGAATCACGATTAGGTTCAAAAGTAGAAGACAGCCTGTACACCAACAAAAAAAATCATATGACAGGGCAAAACTGACAAGCCCCAGACTGAGGCACCCCCACACACAGTGGCCTGCGGTCTTTCAAAGGTGCAGTCTGACGAGCACCAACATGGGTGCACCCTCACGAAACCCGTGACCACATCTGCCCCTGGCTTCGCAATCACCTCCTCCATCCCAGGTCCCCAAGCAAGGCTCAGCCCACTGTCACTGAAATACCGCGTATTTTCTGGAAGCCCACATCAGTAGAACCACATGGTGTGTACTCTGCTCTAGTTTCTGTCACTCAGCACAATATTGAGGCTCAACCATGCTCTGGGCTATTCTCTCATCTATAGTAAAGATATACCACAATTCTAAATTCACCAGCTAGAAACATTTGCTTATATCTACTTTGTGGGTATTAAAAATAAAACTACTGTGAACATTTGTGAAAGACTCAATATGGAGACACCATTTTCTTGGGCAGATACCTAGAAGTGGAATGGCTAAAACATTTGTTAGGTGTATGTTTAGTGTTTTAGGAAACTCATGACCTGTATTCTGAAGTGCTGACTGATTTTACATTGCCACCAGCTGTGAGAGTCCAGCTCCTTCCTGCCCTTGCCCACACTTGACATGATCACTCTTCCCAGCAGTTGTGATAACAGATATATAGTGTGCAGCCCTACCTCGTTGGGGCTTTATCACTAATGGAGTTGAGTTTCTTTTCATGTGCTTATTTGCCATATTGATATCTTCTTTGGTGAAGTGTCTATCGAGACCATTTATTTCCTTTTTAAACTGAATTGTTTGTTTCCTTATTGAGGTCTAGGAGTTCTTCATGTATTCTGGATACAAGTTCTTAAACACACATATGATCTGCAAATATTTTCTCCCAATCTATGTTTTGTCTTTTCATTCTCTTAACAGTATCTTTCAAAGAACAGAAGTCTTTCCTTTTGACTAAGTCCAATTCATCAACTCTTTTAGAGATCATGTTTTTGGTGTCATATCTAAGAAATCTTACCTTGCCGAAGTTACAAATGTTTGCTCTTGTGTTTTCTTCTGGTTGTTTATGATTTAGGCTTTACATCTAGATCTATGATTCATTTCAAATTAACTTTTGTATGCTGGGGACACCTAGCCTGGAGTTCATTAAAATAGTGGTTTCTAATCATTCTGGCACCATCACTGAAGACAGCGTGCTTTCAACAGTAAATTGCTTCTGCACCTTTGCTGAAAGTCAGGTGTCTTTTGTGGGTCTATTTTTGCACTCCATTCTGTCCTGTATATTTAGTGCTGTGTCTTTTGGACAGTGCCTCAAAATTACTGGAAACCACATCCTCCAACCTTCTTCCTTCTCTCAGTTCTTTGGCTACCCCAGGTCCTTTGCATCTTCATATATATTTAGAATTATTTGTTAAAGCAGGTGCAATGATGCATGCCTATAATCCCAGCAGCTCACAAGGCTAAGGCAAGAGGATCCCAAGTTCAAAGCCAGCCTCAGCAACTTATCAAGATCCTGTCTCAAAATAAAATAAAATAAAATAAAAGGACTGGAGACATGGCTCAGTGGTTAAACACCCCTGGGTTCAATCCCTGGTACCAAAAAAAAAAAGATAAGAAAATCATTTGCCAAGGTCTAGCCAAAAAAATGCTGGGATTTTGGTCCTGATCCTGTTGGAGCTGTGGATCAGTGTGGGAGAATCAGCATCTTAGCACCAGAGAGACTTCTGACTCAAGCCTCAGGTCCTCTTCCATGTCACCCATCAGCATTGGGCTTTTAGAGAGCACGCATCTTTCTTATTGTTGTTAGATTTATCCTCAATCGTTTCTCTTTTCTTCCTTTTCCTTTTGCTATTGCAAATGTATTTTATTCCAATTTCTGATCATTTTGCTATATATAAAAATATACTTGCTTTTTTTCCTTTTTTCTTTCCACACATCACAATTGATTTTTGTATATTAATCTTATGTACTTCAACCTTGCTGAACTCACTTAGTGGTTCCTGTGTCTACTTTGCGGATTCCATACAATTTTCTGCACAGTGCAAGGACAGGTTGTGGGTTCCTTTCCAACCCGGACGCCTTTGATTTCCTCTTCTCTTTCCTCAGGTATCCAGTGCAAGGTTGGACATCCCAGTATTGTTGCCCGTCTCAGGGAAATGCTCCATCTTCCACATCTGGAGTGCTGCCCCCTTCACCAGGAATAGATATTGGGTTTTATCAAGTGCTTTTCCCTCATCTATTGAAATAATCCTGTAGTTTTCCTCTTTTAGCCTATTAATATCATAAATTGTATTGAGTGATTTTCAAAAGAGAAACTAACTTTGCTGCCCTAAGGTCAATCCCTCTAGGTTATGATGTATTACCCTTTTCATATAATGCTAAATTTGATAGGCTAATTAAGTTTTAGATCTATATTCATGGAATTACTGGTTTATGATATTTTTCTTACAATGTCTTTACCAGGGTTTTTATTGGAGGCGGGGGATGCTGGGGATCAACCCAGGGCCTTGTGCATGCAATGCAAGCACTCCACCAAATGAGCTACATCCCCAGCTCCGGGGTTGTTTTTGTTTTGTTTTGTTTTGTTTTGTTTTAAATCAAGGGAAGGCAGACTTCATTTAACAAGTTGAGAAGTATTCTCCAAGTCCAATTTTTTTTTTAAAAGTTTATTGAACTGCCATTATTTTTCCCCTAAATGTATAGCAGAATTCAGCAGGGAAGCTATCCTGCCTAGAATTTTCTTTATGAGAAGGTTTTTACCTATAAATGTAATTTCTGTAACAGACAGGACTATTCAAGTTACCCATTTCTTCTTGAGTGAGCTTTGGTGGTTTGAGTTTTCCAAGGAACTTGTCCATTTCATCTACACCACAGAATTCACTGGTATATAAAAACACACCCGTTTTATGCAGCCTGCAGAATCTGCAGCCACCCCATGTCAGTGGTCTGTCTCCTCCTTTCCCATCAGTCCCGCTAGAGGCTTATCATTTTTACTGATTCTCTCAGAGATCCAGCTTTTGGTTTCGTGGATTTTTCTTAGGAATGTTCTCCTTGTTTCATGGACTCCCTTTCCATTCCTTACTATGCTTGCTTCTTCCTCTGGGTGTAATTTGCCCACGTTCTTCTTGTTTCTTCAGGTGGAAGCTCCTTCACAGATGACCGAAGACTGGCCTAGGTGAGGTGAGCAGGGCCTCACTCCCCAAGTACCCCGAAAGCTCGCAGGCCACGAGCAGAGCCGTGCTTGCTGCTGCCCCTCAAGAGCCAGCCTGGAGAGCTACACAGCATGGCC